TGGTTTTTCTCCGGTACCGGGAACCGAACTCACGACCTTGCGCTTGCCAGGCAGGCGCTTTTTGCCGCTGAGCTAAATCCCCAGCCCCAAGTTCTTAATTTTCAATGAAGTCCAATTTACCTATTCTTTGATTACTTGTGCATATCTAAAAAATTCACTAATACTAGGTTACAAAGACTCACAATTATATTTTTCTTAAGAGTTTTATATTTCTTCAATCTCTAGAGTATCATAAAATGTTTTATATTCTCACTCTAACATCATTTAGTTAATTTTTGTGTATGGTGTGAACTGGTGAATTTTGTGAACTGGTGGTGAAATAGTGTTTGATTCATTTTGAGTTAATTTTTGTGTATGTTTTGTTCATGTGCTTTCTTTTGAATGTGGATCTTTAGTTATTCCAAAATTATTATTTTAAAAGATTATTCTTTTCTCATGGAATTGTCTTAGCATCCTTGTCAAAAACCAATTCACTATGGAGGATGAGTTTATTTCTGGATTCTTAATTATATTCCATTGATCTTGCTTATCTGTATGCCTGTGCTACCTTATCTTTATTACTGTAGTTTTTCATTAAGCTTGAAATTAAGAATTATGAATTCTCCAGCTTAGTTCTTCTTTTTCAAGATTATTTTGGCTATCCTGGATACTTTTATTTCCAGGTGAATTTTAGGGTCAATTTGATAATCTTTAGCAAATGTCTTCCTGAGATTTTGATGGGGATAACATTGAATCTTTAAATAACACATGGGAATACTGCCATCTTGACAATATTAATCTTGTCTCCCAATCTACAAACAGGTTTTTCATGTACTTATTTCTTTACTTTCCTTCAATCTTTCTTAGAGTTTTTGGTTATATGCCTTGCACTTTTGTTAAACGTATTCCTAAGTATTTTATTTTTTGGAATTATTATAAATGCAATTTTCTTAAATTTGCTTACAAATTGTTGCTAATATTTAGAAATATGGTTGATTTTTGATCTTATATTCTGCATTTTCATTGAATTTATTAGTTCTAGATTAAAACTCTAATGTTTTAATCAATAGTTCGGTTTTATGGCTATGTATAGTAGGTCAAACTAAAACAATCAAAATTCATTCCCTTCTTTTAAGATGTGAGTTGTCTTTCTTATTATGTACACTATCAAGCATTAGTGGACATTACCAAGAAAAGAAGTACAATATACATCTTATCTCACATCCAAGAAAAACCAATTTACCCATTAGGAGAAATGAATAAGAGTATTTTAAGAAAAATATTATGACAATATTACAGTCATTATTTTCATAAGTGTTCAATAGTCATCAAGTGTGAGACCTTCACTTCCTGGTTCAAAACTCTCCAATGGCTTCTAATTTCATTCTAGTAAAAGTTAGTTATTAGACTAGCCCACAAAGGTTTAAGTGATGTGAATTCTTGTCATCTCTGAACACACGACCTCTTCTTTTTTACTCTATATGAATTAGGCTCTTTGCTTTCACTCAAAAGCAGACTAGGCGCAGTCTCTCTTTACTGGCTTTGCATTATCCCCTCTCCGTGAAGCTCTCTTTACCCAGGTACTCATCTGGCTCATTTCCTTACCAATTTCAGGTTTCACTGAAAACTTATCTACCAGTGAGGTCTTCTTCCCTCCTTTATCTCCCAGCCCTCATCCCTCCAGCTGTACTTTCCTATCTTTTCTACATGAATGTAGGATGCATGAAGGCAGAATTTTTTTCTTCTCTCTCTCTTTTTCCTTTTTGGTCACTGCAGTTAACAACAGTGTCTATAAAAATGCAATAAATAATTCCAAGTGAATGAATGAATGTACTATGCAAATTTCAGAAATACTGTACCTCTGCAAGCAAAAAAGTTCCTATCCCTATAAAATTTATACTTTAGTTAGGGATACAGACATGAATCAATAAGAATACAAATATGTAATTATATTGCTCTGAATAAACAGTACAAAGAGCTATGAAATAATATAACCAGAGGAACTGAGATAATATGGGCCTAGAAAGGGGGTGGTGATAACAGAGAAGAATTTCCTAAGAAAGTAATATTTAATGTGAGATCAAAAGAATGACTGCTAGTTACAATTTTGTTTTCAAATATTTGTTACATTATAAAATCTAATTACATGTGCTGCTCAAGTTAGAAAGTATCCTTTCTCTACTTCTCTGCCAAGGAGAAAAAAATCACCAGAAATAGCTTCACAAGCAAATTGTTCCAAAACTTGACAGAACAAATAATTTTAGTATTTATATTTCTCTAACTACAAAAAGGAGCATTTGCATTTCCTTTGTAAAGTCAATACAATACATATAAAACAAGATTAATCTCACTTATAAATATGGATGCAAAAATAAAACAATACCAAACAATTCAGGGATATAAAAAAAGTTAGAGGCCAGAACTAAGTAAGGTTAATGATAGAATAGTTATGAATAAAATTCACTACTGATCATCTCAAAAAGGGTAAGCTAGAGAATAGAGGCAGGGAAAAATTTAAAAAAAAAATTAAAAGAAAAGAAAAAGCTCTTTAATCTGGCATCATGATTAAACTTAAAACTCTACAAATATTTCCACAGAAGTTAGTAAAAAGAGTTTTAATCTTGATAGTAGTAATTCTAGAAGTATTTAAAAGCACTAGTATTTAAAAGCATTCTATGCCAGCACATGTAGTTAGATTTTAAAATGTAAGAAATATTTAAAAACAAAGTTGTAGCTAGCTGAAAGTGACACAAAAATACATAGAAAATTAAGTCCAAACCAAAAATAATTCAGTAAGATAGCTTGCTGGAAAATTAGAAAATGGAAAAAAGTAGTTTCCCTATAAATAAATAATAAGGAATAAGAAAACATAAGATAGTAG